GAAAAACGAAATACATCTACTAACCCTTTTCTACAGATCACTACAGAACACCTATCTAAACAGGGGAGAGCAATTAATGAGGAAAACCCAGGAAACTACAGGGTGTTCTGTCTAAGAGAAAGAGGAAGTGATTTTCCATAATTCACGAATTTGTCAGGAGAAAGCGCAGTAGGTAAGAAAGAGATTTAAAAAACTGCATCCTAATTTTGATTAAGCAAGATAAAGAACTAAGTTAATTATTAATCGATTTCGTTCACAGTAAAGAGCTGAAATTTTTTAATTTGGTAGCTGCACCTGTCTAATAAAACTTGTGAAGCTGCCACAACATAACATTTCACACAATGCCGCGCTGAATATCATCTCCTGTATCCGGGATACTTTGCAAATCAAATTAAACCTCAATAAAAGAAGCTCTTGTTCCAAGTCATGCAGTTATTAATTTTTTAAGTATTTGGTTGATTTGAATAATGCCAATCTAAATAATACTGTTGAGAGGCAGACGCAGAGAAGCAACAAGGGTGGCAGAAAGAACACAGGCTCAGAGTCAGCCAGGCCTTGGGGTCCAGCCCCAGTCTTGTGCCTAACTAGCTGTGTATCCCGGGGCAAATTATTCACCCTCCTAGAGGCTGTTTTCTCATCTGTAAAATGGGCATAATACGACCTGGAGAGATTACGTGAGTTAACAATCCAAAGTATCTACTGCAAAGTCCAGCACACAGTCAATCAATATACAGTAGCTACAAATATTATTTTGAATATCAGTGTTAATGTTCAGACGGTCTGCAGCTTCCTTCTGACAGTGGTTGAGGAAGCTAACTCTGAGGCTGGAGGGTTTCAACGTCCTGGGATGGCAGGACTGATGTGCTGATCAGCCTCCTCAGCAGAAGCTTTTTGGTTATATTCAGTAATTTTTTTGATCTATTAATTAATGGAGCTATTAACATAACCAATAAAAAGTCTGCAAAGGGTAATATTTTTTTTTTTAAAGTCAAGCTGCCAAATTACATTCTGAACAAACAAGCAAAATTTAAAATGAAAAATAAGAACTACTCACTGATTAACACCTAACGAAACAGATAGCCCAGAGACACGGAACGACTATACTTTAATCTACGTCTTACATGTAAATGCCTGTACACTCCCCGAGCACTGGAATGGACATGAACCATGCCTGAACACAATGGCTCTATTATTCATTTACTCCAAACTGCCATTCCCTGTCGTCAGGAGAACCCATGGAAGCAAACTCCAGCTTCCTGCACTTTCTCATAAGCACGCTTGTTGACCTCAGTACATCAGAGAGCAGATTCAGTGAGAAGAACGAAAGAAGTGGGTTTTCAAAAATAAATTTCTTCTGAATACTAAGAAACACACTACAGAACATTTAGAAATCAACTAAAAGGATAAAAAAAGAACGAGAACCATTTACAACCCTGCCACACAGAAAAAATCCACTGATAACTTTTGGTACACTTCTTTCCAACCTTGTTTGCATACATTTTGTTTATTTAGCTGAAATTATACAGGACATAGTTTCATATCTTGCTTTTGACGCTTAATGTAATACATGAGCGTTTCCCCTGTCGTCACCAACAATTTACAAACAGTTTTTAAAGGACTACACAACATTCAATCATATGGTGGTACCATAATTTTCTAGCCGTGCCCCAACAGGCTGCTTCTCGTTCCCTTACTGTTACCTATCCAGCTTTTCTTCCGCACGCATAAAGCTGCAATGGGCTCCTCTGCTCAAAGCATTTTTGTCTGTATCTATACTCACGATACCAACATATGACAGTGTCGGTTCACTGCATATCGCTAGGAGTGAGCATTCTCATCCCAGTACCCAACTCTGAAAAATATTTAACATTAGCAAGAATTTTAAGGATATACGCTTCCATAAACTCTATTTGATTCTCTTTTATCTGCTATATGGTAATCCAAGCTCAGAAAAAAAAAAATTCCAAATCTTTTTATCGGAAGGAAATCCAAAATAAAAAAGGCTAATTTTGCAGGCTAAGGTTCTGTTTGGTTAAGATGTATGACTCAGCAACACACTTCTTCATATTTAAAGAACACCAAAGGAAAAAGGAGAATAGTAAAATTTGGGGGAGATTATGTGGAAACTGAGCAAATCCTAAAACCCAGGGCAATATCATGAGGTTAAGGAGAGGTGGATCATTAGTACCAGAAGGCCAGTCCAGGGACAGGAAAATGTTACCAAGAAAAAGTCGATTCTGAGATAGAGTTCCCTCTATACAGACTACAAGGAGCCCTGGTGGCGCAGTGGCTAGGGACCTGGCTGGTAACTGAAAGTTCGGTAGTTAAAACCCACCAACTGCTCCACGGAACAAAGATGTGACAGTCTGCATCCATAAAGACTACAGCCTTGGAAAATCTATGGGGCAGTTCTACCCTGTCCTGTAGGGTCGCTGTGGGTTGGAAATGATTTGACAGCAATGGGATGGGTTATATAGACTACACAGGAGCCCTGGTGGCACAATGGTTTAGTGCTTGGCTGCTAACCAAAAGGTCAGTGGTTCAAAACCACCAGCGGCTCCAAGGGAGAAAAGACCTGGTGATCTGCTCCCATAAAGACTACAGCCTCGAGTTCTAGTCTGTCCTGTAGGGTCACTATGAGACGGAATCAACTTGACAGCATGCAACAACAACACAGACTATAAGGTCCTTGGGTGACACAAATGGTTTGCGCTCGACTACTAACATAAAGGCTGGAGGTTCAAACTCACCCAGTGGCGCCATGGAAGAAAGGCCTGGTGAACTGCCTCTGTAAAGACTGCACCCAAGAAAATCCTATGTAGCAGTTCTACTCGAACACATGGGGCCATCATGAATTGGAATCGACTCAACAGTAATGGCTTTGGTGGATTTCTTTTTTTTTTTTTTCACAGATTATGGAGTCCCCGGGTGGTACAAATGGTTAACACCCTCAGCCACTAACCGGAAGGTTGGAAGTTTGAGTCCACTCAGAGGAGAAGAATCACATGCCCACTCCACTGGGGGGCTACCACCCCTCACTGGCTTTCCTGTTATCACGGCCACGCTCTGTTTCTTGTGTGCCAGGCTGGCTATCCCGCTTTGATTTACTTTACCTATGAAAAGAATGCTATAAAGAAACATCTGATAACTATGAAAATTTATTTCTCTCCCAAGAAGTTTTTATAAACATAAAAATTTTACTCCTAATCAAGAAAAGAAAATTCCTGGTCAAACCCCCTTTCTTCTAATTGTCTAGAAATAAAGAAGTTTTAGAAGGCTGAAGTTTTATATAAAGCAACTACTTCAAATTTACCCTTTAGGATACAGTAGTCATCGGATTTATTTTTGGGAAGCTGAGTAGGTCATGAACACCTAAAGAAACCCGGTTTCCGTTTAAGATAAACTAATCGCTTGGTAAATCAAAAGGAGAAAAACATTAAAGGATTGTTCAAAATGTAGCCATCTGCCCAGCACGGAGATCCCGCCTGCAGCCAGTGATACCTAACCTGAAGGACAAAGTAGGTTTGGGAAACTGCAGCCGAGCACTTGAGAAAAAAGTTCACACGTGCAACTACAGACAGCACCCTCTCCTGACTCCATGGGAAATATGTCAACTGTGAAAGAATTTGTTCAATGCAAACACCCAAACTAAAAAGGTATTTTTAAAGGGTCATTTGCATGCCCTTTAAGTCTGCCTGATGTCAGAATGTTTGACCCAAAGGGATCTTACAGTCAAGATGAGTCGTGCTCTCTAGACATGGCCATAAGGAAACATGATTCTGGCAAAGGCTCAACAATGTATCCCAGTCAGAAGTAGATATGAGAGTACTAACTAGCAGGATATAAAGTTTTATGAAGCATTTTATTTCCAAAAATTTAAGAGGCAGGTCACTAAAAAGGTATTTAAACCAGTTGCCGTCGAGTCAACTCCAACTCACAGCAATCCCATGCGTGTCAGGATGGAACTGTGCTCCACAGGGTTTTCAGTGTCTTTGATCTTTCAAACGTAGATCTCCAGGTCTTTCTTCCAAGGCGCCTCTGGGTAGATTCAAACCTCCAGCCTTTCAGTTAGCAGCCTGGTGTGTTAACAGTCTGCACCAGCCAGGGACTCCAAAATGTATTAAATACACAGATAAACCAAAAAATCAAATCCACTGCCGTTAAGTCAATTCCAACTCATAGCAACCCTATATGACAGAGTAGAACTGCCCCCATAGGGTTTCCAAGGAGCAGCTGGTGGATTCAAACTGTCAACCTTTTGGTCAGCAGCCGTAGCTCTTAGCCACTGTACCACCTGCCTCCTTCCTAGGAGCCACGGGGACAAGGGTGATCTAAATTTAAAAAAAAAAAAACCCAGGTACAGAACTCTGGACTGGGCTGTGTCCTCATGGACAGTAGAGACAGAGAAACAGAGGGTTTTGTCCAGGAGGAGCTCGCCAGCTTGAAAAGGAGGAAAAAGTCAGTAATAAAGCTGGAGATTCTGAGCTCCTCAGGGGACAGGCCAGCCACTCCGTGTCCCCGTACCTGGCTCAAAGCCTCCCATGGGGTATATGATCAATGAAGTGCTTGCTGTGCTGACCTGAATGGAAGGTAAAAGCTGAGAACAGAGAAAGAGGTGAAGGCTACCCAAAAAGTTTCTGGGTGGATCATCCTCCAAAAGGAGCCCACAGTTTCTTATTGCAAGCTGCCTCCATTGTGCAGAATCTCAACCAAAAATTGTCCTCAACAGTTCACCCTGGATGGTTCCTTTCTTGACCCAACAAATATATACCAATCACCTACAAATCGACACCACTGGGCTATACAATTCACCAACACATTTCATCAGCGAGCCAAAAATATTGCCATGCTTGGTGTGATGATTTGGATACAGCGAGCGTGTTCTGCTGTTATTCTGAGCTTTGATTCTGTCAATACTAACGAGTGCAATGTCTCTCCTGGAGAAAGAACCTTCAATGAAACCAGATCTGCTCTTGTTCCTGTGATTCTAAGCTGCTCACCTTTGGTCGGTCCCTTCCTGTTAAGGACGGCCTGCTGTTCCTCGGTGATGTTCAGCCGCCGAACCACATCGGCCAGAGCTGACTTGAGCAGCTGGATGTCATCTTCTTGCATCTGGACTCGCTGCTCCAGTGAAGCAATGCGGTCCGTCACCTCCATGCTACTTGCAGCAGAGGCACTGTCATCTAAACAGAAGGAAAGGGCCGAGTGAGTCTTAAATTTTCCCCAGAGAAACAGGATCAATGGGCATGTACTCGCTTTAACATAATAAAGTTTAAAAACTGAAGACAAGTGCTCAAGTGCAGAAATCCTGCAAAATCGTTTCCTATCAAGGCACAACTCTTCATTCGACTACAGTCTTTCCACTCTACTTGTGTTTCTCATTCTTAAACTGTGTTTTTAATTGCCTTTATATTTTTCTAGATGCAGTCCAACTCGTTTTCTTTGCCATGGTCTTGGAAAACCTCAGAAGCAGAACAGATATTAGAACACATTTACTTCAACTTCCCACACACTGCAGAAATCCATTCTGCGTAGTCTTGTAGGTCTTGTTCCAACAATGCTAACAGGTCGTATAATCCCAAGGCCACACTACCCATCAGTCAAGACTTTCAATGATGGGCTACTCTAACACAGCAATATGAGTGGTCAAATCTGTTTGGTAGGCATACCCTTATAGTCATAGTAATCGCATTTTCTTGTATAGAATCATTAATTCCCAAATCCTTGCCAAGGTCTACAAGGCCCTAGACGATCAGACCCTTCCTTGCCTCTCCAACCTCATCGTCTATCATTCTTCCCTTCACTTAGTATGCCCCAGCCATCCTGGCCTCCTCATTTCCCATCTTAAGCTTTTCTATTGGCTGTTAGCTTGGCTTGAAACATTTCTCACCCAGCTGTTTGCATGACCAAATCCTTCCTGTTCTTTAAGTCTCAATTCCAACGAGAGTTCTTTAGAGACCCTTCCTAACAACCTCATCCAAAGTTGTCACTTTCTATCACATCAGCCTTATTTAGTTCTTTCACAGCATGTACTACAAGCAATAATCATCTTGTTTGTTTATGGTCTACCTCTCCTAACTAAAATGTAAGCAGCATGGAAGTCACTTCTGCTTCTGGGTATGACAGACTAAGACCCTGCCGTACAGCAACCCACTGCGGAAAACAATTATTAAACCTGGAAACCATACAAAAAGCAACCACCTGAAGGTACTAGAGAGTGAACAGAAGCACAGAGATGCTGGTGGGGAGTTCACATTCGCTTGGAAGAGGAGAGATGGGGGAACATGCAAGTGAATTACCTTTTTCACAGGTTTCACCTGGGGCTAAGTGCTGTCTGCATGGTGCACACAGTGGAGGTAAGGGTAAATGTTGGAAATTCCATAGTCTTTTTCTCCTCAGAAACCAAAAAAGTGAACTCAGTAACTGTGAATGCTGAAGACAGTGGAGACAATACTAGAGGTGATCCCCAAACTCTGTCTACTCACTTCTCTGACTAAACCTTGAGTCATGCATGCACAGGACAGACTCTTCCTCCAGCTAAATATAAAAGGTCAGAACTGAGACTGGAGCTACTGCCCAAGGAACAGAGTTTGCAGTTTAAGGCCAGCCAAGAAAATTACCTGCTAAAGCAAAAGCAACAACATTCATCAGAAAGAAATAACAGGATACGGAATTTCCACAACTTAACGTTCGTGACGTCTGGGATACAGTCCAAAATTATCCATCATACTAAGAATCAGGAAACGGAAAACATCCTCAAGAGAAAATAAAATAAATTGAACCCCACTCCAGGATGAACAAAACATTAGAACTAAGAGACCAAAAAATTTAGAAGATATTATGATTATCCTCAATAAGTAAATGTATTTTCAGTGAATGAAAATCTCAGTAAAGAAGTGGGAAATCTCAGCAGAGAAAAAGAAACAGTAAAAGAGAACCAAATGGGAATTCCAGAACTAGAAAATATATTTTCTAAAATAAAAAACTCACTAGCTAGACCTAACAGCTGAATGGACATGGCAGAGGGAAGACTAATAAACCTGAGATTGATCATTGGAAAGTATCTGTCATGGGTTGAATTGTGTCTCCCCAAAATGTGTGTCAACTTGGCTAGGCCATGATTCCCAGTACTGTGTGGTTGTCCTCCATTTTGTGATGTGATGTATTTATCCTATGTGTTGTAAATCCTAACCTCTATAATCTTAATGAGGCAGAATTAGAGGCAGTTATGTTCATGAGGCAGGAAGAAATCTACAGGATTAGGTTGTATCTTGAGTCAATCTCTCTTGAGATATAAAAGACAGAAGTGAACAGAGCGGAGAGGGACCTCATTACCACAAGCAAGAAGAGCCAGGAGCAGAGCACGTCCTTTGGACCTGGGGTCCCTGCTGAGAAGCTCCTAGACCAGGGTAAGATTGATGACAAGGACATTCCCCCAGGACCAACAAAGAAAGCCTTCCCCAGGAGCTGACACCCTGAATTTGGACTTCTAGCCTCCTAGACTATGACAGAATAAATCTGTTTGTTAAAGCCATCCACTTCTGGTATTTCTGTTATAGCAGCACTAGATAAGAACCCAAGGTAAAGAATGGATAGGAAAAAAAAAGAGATTAGAAAATATTAACAGAGCCTTGGGAAGCTGTTGAAGTCCCTGGGTAGTGCAAATGGTTAAGTGCTTAGTTGCTGACCAAAAGGTTGGCAGTTAAAGTCCACCCCAAGGTGTCCTGGAAGAAAGGCCTGGTGACCTACTTCCCAAAAACCAGCCATTGAAAACCCTGTGGAGCACAGTTCTACTCTGACACACATGGGATTGTCGTCAGTCGAATTCAACTCATCTGGGTTTTAGTTTCGTTCTGGGGACTTGTTAGATGATATCAAAAAGTCTAACAGAAGCCCGTATCAAGGTAAATCACAGTCAAACTGCTGAAAACCAAAGACAAAGAGCAAATATTGAAAGCAGCAAGAGAAAAACTATACATCATATATGGGGCAACAACAACACGATGAACAGCTGACTTCTTATCAGAAACCATGGAGGCCAAAAAAGAGTGAAACATCTTTAGTCAACAACAACAACAAAAAATTCAACCCAGAACTTTAATCTTGCAAAAATATCCTTCAAGAATGAAGGCAAAATAATGGTATTTTTAGATAAATGAAAGGATTCATTGCTACCACATATGCATGACAAGATATGCTAAAGGAAGTTCTTCAGGCTGAAGAGAAATTATGTAAAATGAAAACTCAGACCCTCACAAAAGAATGAAGAGCATTAGAAATGGTAAATATCTGAATAAATTCAAAGACTATCTTTTTTTCTTTTGTCTTTTCCTCTCAATGTTCTTATAAACCCTGTAACAGTTTAAGACAAAACAACAACACTGTCTTACGGGTTTTTAATGTATATATGTAATACATATAACTACTGTAAGAAAGGTTGGGCAGATATTGATCTATAAAGTTGCATGGCTTCAATATTTGACATGAAATATACATTATTAACTGTAAGTGGTCCTTGAAAAGTTAAAGATGTACATTGTAATCCCTATGGAACTACTAAAGAATAAGGCAAAGAATTATGGCTAAAAAACCATCCCAGAAATTAAAATAAAATTCTAAATATATTCAAATAATCTAAAATAAAGCAAGAAGAAACAGAGGTACGAAAGAGAAGGCAAGTAGAAAGCAAAAATTAAAATGGTAAACTCAAACCTAAGATAGCAATAATTATATTAAATGTTACATTAAACATACAAAAAGCAGAGATTGTCAGAATTTAAAAAAAAACAACTATCTGTTGTCTACAAGAAATGCAGTTTAAATACCAAGATACAGATAGATTGAAAGTAAATGAATGAAAAAGATACATGATGCAAAGAGTAAGCACAAGAAGGCTGGAGTGGCTGCGTTAGTATGAGATAAGACAGATGTCAAACAAAATGTTACTACAAGAGATAAAAAGGGCCATTTCATAAACAAAAAGGGTCAATTTATCAGGATGGCATAACAATCATAAATGTGTACATGCCCAATAACAGACCTTCAAAGTACACGAAGCAAAAACTGACAGAATCAAAAGGAGAAATAGATAATTACATAATTACAGCTGAGGATTTTAACACTCCTCTCTCAGCAATTGATAGGACAACTAATTTTTTTAAAAAATCAGCAAAGTCAGGATATGGAAGAAGTGAACAACAATATCAACCAACTGGATCTAACTGACATTTACAGAACGTTCCACCCTCTTCCCCAAGAGCAGAACACGTATTCTTTCCAAGTGCACATGGAACATTCACCAAGATAGAACATATCCTGGGTCATAAAATAAACTTTAACAAATTTAAAAGAACTGAAATTATAAAAAGTATGTTCTCTGGCCATAACAGAATTAGAGAGGAAATAAATAACAGAAAGGTAACAGGAAAATCTCCAAACACTTGGAAATTAATTAATATTCCTCTAAAGAATCTCTGGGTCAAAGAGTAAGTCTCAAGGGAAATATAAAAAAAACACTTTGAACTTAACAAAAATGAAAATACAACATATTAAAATCTGGGACACAGCTAAAGCAATGCTTAGAAAGAAACTTACAGCATTAAATGCTTTTATTAGGAAAAAAGAGAGAAAAGTCTCAAATTGATAATCAAAGCTTCCACCCTAAGAAAGCTCTTTTTTTTTTTTAAAAAAAAACATTTAAAAAAAAAAAAAAAAAAGGGCAAAATAAGCCCAAAGCAAGCAAAAGGAAAGAAATAATGGAGATAAGAGCAGAAATCAAAGAAATCGAACACAGAACATTTAAGAAAAATCAATGACACCAAAGTTCATTCTTTGTAAAGATAATAAAATTGATAAAATCCAAGCAAGACTGTAAAGAAAAGATGGGAGGGAGACAAAACTGCTGATATCAAGAATGAAATGAAAGAGAGATATCACTTCAGACCTCATAAACATTTTTAAAAGGATAAAGGAACACTATGAACAACTCTATGCACATAAATCCAACAATTTAGATGAAATAAATCTATTCCTTGGAAACCTCAAACTACCAAGACTCACTAAAGATGAAATAGATAACCTGAATGATTCTATAACTATTATAAAAAATTCTGTTCATAAAAACCTTTTAAAAAGGAGTTTAACTGCTGACCTCGACCAAAGGTTAAAGGAAATAATACTAATTCTAT